GCGGTGAATAAAATAGAAAATAGAATTACAATATGGTATGAGCTCTGACAACAATTATCAATTCACAACCGTAACATTTTTTTTATACAGTATAGTTAATAACACAAAACAAATATCAGTAATTTTAAAACAAATATGGTGATAAAAGAATTAGTTTATAAGTATTTTAATAAAGTATATCAAAACTAAATAGTTCTTTAAAAATAGCTGTTCCTCAAAGCACAGGGATTCAAGAAATCAAGAAAAGAAAGTGTACAAGGTCATTCAGGTCAGAGACTGAGCTACTCTGGGCTATAAATTTTCATTAGTAGGAGGTTATTTGTCTATTATGGTGGCGTAATCCCCAATTCTGGGGGTCAAATACATCCATGCTCAAACCTCAAAACCAAACTATTTGTTAGTGCTTGTACATTCATTGGAGTGTTTCTATATTCGTTAGTGCTTGTACATTCATTGGAGTGCTTGTACATTCGTTGGATTGTTTCTATATTCGTTAGTGCTTGTACATTCATTGGAGTGTTTCTATATTCGTTGGAGTGTTTCTATATTCGTTAGTGCTTGTACATTCGTTGGAGTGTTTCTATATTCGTTAGTGCTTGTACATTCATTGGAGTGTTTCTATATTCGTTGGAGTGTTTCTATATTCGTTAGTGCTTGTACATTCGTTGGAGTGTTTCTATATTCGTTAGTGCCTGTACATTCGTTGGAGTGTTTCTATATTCGTTAGTGCTTGTACATTCATTGGAGTGTTTCTATATTCGTTGGAGTGTTTCTATATTCGTTAGTGCTTGTACATTCGTTGGAGTGTTTCTATATTCGTTGGAGTGTTTCTATATTCGTTGGAGTGTTTCAATATTCATTGGAGTGCTTGTACATTCATTGGAGTGCCTGTGTATTCGTTGGTACTGTTTGTATAATCGTTGAAGTGTTCAAGGTTGCCCTTTTGGCGTTCCATACATTTGAAAATGATATCTGGCCATCTCATATGCACATTGTCTATTAGGTGTTAGTGTCTTCATACCGTACTAAAATGTACATTATCTTTGCCTATTTTAATTTATAGTAAAATTATCTTCCACAACTACTGTATTATTGTCCCTCCACACTTCATAGCCTACCAAATGATTATATACTATAGGCCTACTTATTTTTTTTTTCTTTTCTGTTCTATTTTGATTTATTACCAATCTTTTGATTTTTTGACAACTATTTTCCATAATTTTGTTTAATACCAATTCTTCTATTGAGATTGCAGGCATTTGGGAGTACACTGAGCATTCAGTACTTATAATACATCAGGAAGGGCAAACATCATTTCTTACCATTTCTTCCACCTTTCTTGATTTTTCTTGATTTTTTTTTTCATTTCTCTTTTTTTCCCCCTTTCTTTTCCTTTCATTTTCTTTCTTTTTCTTTCTTTTACTTTTTGTTTCCCTTTCTAATAATTATTAAAAATATATGATGATGATCAGGGATAGAACAAGTGATTATAAACATTCTGTTATCCAAATGGTTTCCTGTAGATCCTTGGATACTGCATTCTTCAAGATGAATCAATCTTCGGTGATGATCATAGCATCGTTTCTGTTGTTGAGATCGGAGAGAGAATAACAAGAAAAAAAGTCTTGGGCATGTCGTGGACAAAACGAATGCAGGTAAGAATAAAAAGACCAACAGAATAAAAACGTATGTAAAACCCTAAATTATAAAACAAGTGTACCTGTGATAATCAAAACAAGAAAGTACAATTATTTGAATTTATTTTGCCTATCTATATTGAAAGTATAATTATAAATACTTTATATGTGGCAAAGAGAAGCCAAACCAATCACTTGTCGCAAGATGGATTTTTAGTTATTAATACAGGATTAAACAGTAAAATGAGAGCTAAAAAATGGTAAAAGAATCATTAAAATCCGACATTTTGTTATGAAGTTACAGGAGTTTAAACATACAGCTGTTTAAAGAACAATATTTGAGAAATTAGCCTTTAAATTTTAGGATTTCAGGCAGAAACCATCAAAAATTGTTGCTTTAACATTGAAAATGGGGAAAATAACAGCATAGCATGATATATAGATAATAAATGTTAGTTTAGTGAAATAAAATACTGATTTTAAAAAATTTTGACATCCGATTACCAGGACGTTTTGGTCATTATCTCTGAAACAGGATTTGCGACGAGTGACTGGTTTGGCTTGTCTTTGCCACATATTTTTTGTAATTTGGCCTACTGTAATAACATGGAGGAAATAATTATTTCCTCCATGGTAATAATAACTTGAAAATACTGATTCTTTCACTTCTGCATCTGTAACAGTTGATTTTATATTTAAAATCACAGACATGACATAGTTTTTATTTATTTTTTAAAGATATTTATATATTCTTAGCTGTTTTTAAAAATGGCATTAATGCTATAGCTTTATATAAGAAATTTCTATTTTTCAAACCTTGAGGTAACTTGAACTCACTTGACTTACAATTTTGATCGACAGAGTAATATGTTTCTGGCAAATTTTGGGTATGTTAACTCTAAAATTAGGAATATGCTTGTTCATAATTACTGTACCAGCTTTTAATGGATTTCCAATCATGGTTTGACATAATAAAATTGAAAATATCTATAGATCACATAGAGAGTTATTCAAAGAGTATGGCTAATTCCAAACTGTACCTTACTTCCTTATGTTGCTTGTTGTATTGATATCAAAACTAATGCTAGCTATATGCTGTATTACTTTCATATTAACAAGGCTTTTTAATTACACTTCAAAATTTACCACATTTAACTAAAAATTAAAATGGGTCTCGTTGGATCATTATTAGTTAGGGGAAAATTTTAGGCATGTTCTCATCTCATTTTAACATGCTTACCAATATGGTAATACAGGTCTTACTCTAATGAAAGATCCCTCCAATTATTGAAATACCACTTTTTTGTGGTCCCAAATTTACAATTGTCATTTATTTTTATTATTCTAATTAGAGACCAAAGCTACTAAAGACCATGAAAACCCCGGTCCCAAGAGTGGTCTTTAATTGGAGGGAGACCTTAGTTTGAATAAAATCCATAGAGATATAATAAGAATACTAGAGCGCTAACAGCAATGTATTCGATGTTCGAAATACGCAGAGCTGTGTGTGTGTACCATCCAAGATGGCTGCCATAGATTCAGCCAATCAAATTTCGCCTGAGCACTATCATTTTCAATGGCGCCCTCAATTTACACAGAAAGTTCAGTACACAGCTAGTTACTCGTATTTTGAAACTCGAGCATTGCGGTGTATGGGTGTAATTTACACGATTTTAATTCTTTTTAATATTTGAATAAGATGCTCTACTTTTTTGGCTACGACAGTTTAATAATTTGTCATTATCAATACTAATTATCATTATTGAAATAATTTTCAGTCAGAGGGCTTATTTATGGTAATAATATGTATACTAAGCCTGAAGGTGGCGCTTTCCTATGGCAGCCATCTTGGATGGTACACATACACAACTCTGCATTGCCCCGCCATCTTGTCAGCACTCTAGTTGTTTAATAGCTCTATGATAAAATCATTAGTGTAAATGACAATACTCTTAAAACTACTGAGCAAATAAAATTTATTAACATGAGGGATAACTATTCAGACACTCTGAACATATTCAATAATATTAATATCTGTGTAGCTGTATAGTTCCATCTGTTCACATATTGTCTGTATTTTATTGTCTGCATTGGTATTGTGTTTATTTATAATAGCTTTGGTGTTTGTGCTTTTGTATTTTTTTTTTATTGAATTGTGCATTTTAAATGTAGTATTATGCAAATAAAGAAAACTGAACTTAACTATAATATTATCATGTACCTGTAGAGGGCCATTAATTATGTACAGTTGAAAATTATTTTTAAAAGTAAAAAAAAAATAGTATTGTATAGTCTGCTAGTGCTATGCCGGGTACTATGTTGGTTTGTGAGATCATTATGGGAAAAGCAACTGACAGCTTACCACACTATCTAATAAGCACTTTACAAACAATGGAATTGTTTATAACCGCCCATGAGAATTTTTGGGGAATAGATAACATCAATGTGAAATTAACAATTGCAACAACATTGCATGCCATATAAACAATGATTCAGATAAGTACTGATGACAAGCATAGATAACTAACTGTATAAGAATTTTCACTGATAGTGAGTCATAAATCTTTTAAGTTTACCCAGTATTCTATCGTTTGGCATTAAATTTGCCATGATGAAAAATGAAAGCTTATATCTAAATGGCTCTGTCCCCCAATCCCTGTAGATCCACGTTTGCACACTACCTTTAAAGTACAGATAACAATTTCCACGTAGCTTCTTGTTTTTTGTATATTTGAAGATTTAATATTTGTGTGTGTTGTTAAATTTGGGGTTAAGTCAACCGGCTATGTTACAGTAATTTGGTTCAATTTAGTTAGACCCAATCCTCCCAAATTTCTGGTTTGTTTTTTTTGTAACTTCAATTATATACATGATGTTGTTTAAAAGACGGAATGCATAATGAAATGAAATGAATTACTCATTTGTATTTTCTGTGATGCCATGTTAATTTTACTGTGGATATTTTTCAGGTGTGTACTGATGTATTGTCATTATTGTATCATTTGGAAACCTCTCCTATTGGTTCGCTTCTCCTGTCAGACTTCATGTTGAGCCAGATGGTGTTTGTTAACGGGACAGTGAAGCTCGCCGACTTGGATGACTTGGCACCTGAGGAACAGCACTGTACTTCGGATTCTCAGTGCTACTTTAAAAAAAAGGACCTAGGTCAGTACAGTACTTACAGCACCATAATTTTTGTGGTTTTCGATTCCCGCCCGATTGTATTTGGTAATTTAAGTGGACAGTTAGGGCAAATTTTAAGCACCGTGTTTGCTGAAATCTACAAGCTTATTAATCTAAATGAATGTTGCAAAAGAATTAATGAATTAAAGGCATATAATAGGATGTCACAATGTAAATTATGCTATTATTGTAAAGCTAGAACAAACCCGCCCAACATTGTTCACCCTACTGCCCACCCCACTTTAACAATGGTATATTCCATTTTGGATGGTTTTTGTCCGGTGGTTATTGTTCCAGGTGGTTTTTGTCCTACATAGTGTAAATACACATCAAAATAATTCAATTGCATTAGCTATACTTAATTCAATAGTAATTTAATATCAAAATAAATATTCATCAAGTTGATTGTTAAATTAAATTAAAACTAAGCCCACGAAAATATATTGGATAAATAATTTACTGTACATTTGTACATTAGTTTATGGTTTATTTTCTTAATCTTCTCTATGTTGCTGTTAAGCACCTCGATGCTGTGACAACATTAGGTGCTACATAAATCCAGAATTATTATTATTATTATTCTAATTATTAGATTTTTTATTTAATAATTTATTTGCTTGTTTATTTAGGTGTTTCCTGTGTACAGTCGATGTGTCATGGTAGAAATGCGAAGTTGAATCTCTTGGGGTTTCTATCAAATTTTCGAAAAATAATCATCAGCGACATTCCCGCTGACCTTGAATCTGAGGTCAACATGGCAGTTCAAATGTTGGAAGAGCTACAGGTATCCAGTGGAAAGCTTGTTGATATTTTTAAAACATTCCAAAGACATGCCACCAAATAGAGTACCGTAATTTCCTTCTTTTTACTATATATTTGAAGATCAACTCACCAAATTTATATTTATTATTAAGATTATAAATTTAAAGATTAAGTGTTGTGCTAAGACTAATTTTACAGATAAAATATGTGCTCTTACAGTGATGAGTGGGGTATATTTAATATATAATTTTTTTAAATATTTCCTCTAAATATATCCATATTTAAAAAAAACAAAACAAAACTTTATGTATCAATTGGACATATAATGAGCTTAATTTACACAACTGAGTAAGTGAGTGACTGAGTGTAACTTCAGTAAAACAAGGTGATGTTACACATCAAATTCAAAAATGGTGTGCTGATTTTGGTGCTATATTATTATTTTAGTTATATAGAACAGTTATATGTTTAATAGTATCCTTACAAGTGGAGCTGTTGTTTTTTTTTTAAGGTTAAGGTCAAGGCTCCCACTATACTAATAATGTGATAATGGGAATGGATGACTAAATCATGAAAAAAGAAATCAACACTATAAAGCCCCATTTACACTAGACATGACAACGGCATTTTATCTTAAGCCTTACACTGACTTTATAAAGAATTGAATTTTGAAACTGGATATAGTTATGCATCCAATTGGGTCCTTCTGGTGGTGATTGGCCAGTACCTCGGCAGACAATCTCCTAACTTTTTGTTGTAGATATACTGCATTCTTTAACGTACGTACAGTATGGACCGTATTAGTGAGGGGGGCGGGGGCGGGGGTTGGAATGGACCTTACCGAAGAGTCAAACTGACCAATAAGAACGGTGCCAGGATATATGCATGTTCTATAAACATGTATGTGTGTGCGTATGCTTCTACACTGTCGTTTTGAGGGCGCAGGAGAAAGGCTATTGAACCGGGTACCACAAGGGTTAGCAGTAGAGGGTTCCGTTCTGTACCTGTAGTAAATATCAGATCAGGGAAGTACCTCCTTGATTGTCAAACATGCTATATCTTGAATAACTCGAATGAACAACTCCACTCCATAAGCATCATACTGAGATATAGATTATATTGAAAATAGTTTGATAGATCATGAATAGAATATAAATATATAGTTTATTTGATTCCACTGTAGATGTAGAATAGATCGTTGAGGGATAAGAAAAAAGATGTAGTATATATACAGAGATATATTTGTAAAGAACTAGACAAAAGAAATTTAAACTTAGTAATTTTGTTATTAAGAGAGTAGATTTATATTCGTGGAAATTGGTTTGGTGCAGCGGGTTAATTTGGTTTTCAATCCCTTGCTGTGTATTTTGCTTGTGAATGAGTAAGACACTAGCTTCTCTCCACCCAGGAGTATAATATTGGTGCTGGTGGGGTTGCATGCTCCCGCGCTGATTACAGCTAGGACAGAAGCACTTGTATCTGCAAAGAAAGGCGCTATATAAAAAAACCGAATAAATCTTTTTTAAAAATGAAAATACAAAAAACATAAGAAAGCAAAAAGTAGCATTTTGATATTTTATTTTCACAAGCTTTTGCATGCACTGTAGGCCTAGACTTCTTCAGGTGGATTGTTGTTATTTTTATAATTATCATTGTTTTTATTGTTATAATTATTGTATTGTTATTATGATATCATATTGCAAGACAATACAAGATAGTTAGATGCAGTAATTAATAGAGATAAGAAGAGATCTGCAAAACCTGGTTCAAAATTGTAAAATTTGGTAAATGGTGAAGTTTCCTCATGCACAATTTTATGTTCGGTGGTGGGGGTGGGGATGTGGCCTTATGTCAGAAGAACTACAGTATTTTCATTTGGATGATAATTCAAGATATGGACCCAGTATTAATTAAATATTATTTATATATTTTAATTATTCAATGTACTGTCAATATACTAATTGTAAATAAAAAAATACTTTTAGAATAATAAAATGCGAATGAAATTAATAAATAATTTTAACTACACATAAAGCCATGTAGACTTGCTCAAGAGTAGATTGGACCAAACAATGAACTACTCAAGAGACTTACCTTGCTTGCTGGGGGTGGTGTTTGGGCTGTTTTGAATAAGGCGCGACATTTTTATACCTTGTTTTGCAGGAGGGCGGGAAATGATAAAAATAATATTTTGTTTTCTTATTTAGCCAAATGGTTTTGCCAAAATTATCCAGATGGAGGAGAAAATTAAAATAAATTGGTATTGTTATTGTTGAATGTAAACAGTGTAGTAATAGGAGAGTTATATAATTCGGATGAAAAATACATGTCTTATTTTTTGAGATATCAAGACAGTGGCAGGTGTAATAAAAATAAGAAAACTTTTTTTTTTTAAATATCCCTTTTTTCATGGCGGCGGGTGTACTAATTGGACAAAAATAAAATTTTAATTTTATTAGAAATTGTCATTATTGGCGGGTGGCAGTTTCACGAAACAAGGTACCTGTATAAAAAAAATCTTGTCTGATATGAAATGGTCTGGAACCTAGGCCAGTTCTGGATTAATTATGCACCGAAATAACGGATACCCACATCACATCAGAGTTCAGTGTTAGTGAGTTTCATTTAGGGACCACAGTAGAATTAAGTTGACTGTAAAGTAAGGCCTTGTGCAGGGAATATATCGATCTCCACGCAAAAATTTGGCCTAGAAATATGTTTGTGCATTTTGGAAAATAAGGGCTGATTTCCCCACAGATTTTGCCAAAATTTAGGGTTTGACCTAATCTTAATATATTTAGTGCAGTAATTTAATGGTATTGTTAAAGATATATTGCCACTTAAACCAAATGCAGTACCTGTAAAATGTAAACTTGAAAAATAAAAAAATCCTTAATTTGTATATACAGTATTTTAATATGTTTTTAGCTTTCAAATAAAATTCAGAATGAAGAAAAAGCTACTGATGTTTTAATGAAGTTATAAAATGTTTGTAATTTCTGTAGTAAAAGATCGGTAAATCACTGAAAACGTTTTTCTGATCATGCCATGTTTTGGTAAAGATTTTTTTTTGAGTAAGATCCATGTACTTCGATTTTTAATGTTTTGATTATTGAAATTTTACATACTCTTTTTAATATTCTTTCTTTTTGAAAGTCTTTGGATGTGTGCTGAAAGTTATGAAGTGTTCTTAGTAACCAAATGATGCTAATGTGACAATATCAGGGTGTAACAATGTGACATTCAGGGATAATTTTAATATGTAAATGTAATTTTAATGATATTTTCAAGGGGAATGTTGATCTTATAGCCACTTAATGCATATTGTGGCTATTGAGTGTGTCAATAAAATTGTTTATCATATTGTGAGTGTGTTTTGTTTTTGTTTCATGGAAAAGCATGATAGTATGTGCTTTATTAATAGTTAAAATAGTTTTGTAATTTCTAGATGTACATTTGTTGATAGGAAATTTTTATTTTCATGAGGATTGTGCTGTCTGTCGATAGAGGGCGGTATTGTAGAAATTCATAGTATCATAGATATTAATTTTTATTTAGTTTAATTATCCTCACAACTCAAATATATTACTTAGTGAAGAAAGGCAGAATGCCAATTAAAGACAGTGTCACCAGCAGCTATTAATTCTGCCATATCATCTATCATATTATATCATAATATCATATATGATATATTATATTATAATTATTATTATTATATATTATATGATATCATATTATCTTTGTATCATCGACTTTCAACATGTTGCCTACTGAACTGTTTGACCCAGAAATCCAAATCAGTACATTAGTCAAAACGTTTAATTTTTATTCACATTCAACACCTTGTGGGCCACCACTTACAGAATAAAAAAGCAATGAAGAATATATATCTAACAAAATCATGGACAAATGAAATTAATTTTGATATTGATTAAACCTATAAAAAAAAAAAACAATATGTAAAGTAGGCCTACCGTAATCGCGCGAATAAGCGCCCGGGCGCTTAAAATATTTTTTGCCCTTTCTGAGGGGCGCTTATTTTAAACGGGGCGCTTATGAAAGCAGAGTGGAAATTGAGGGGGCGCTTATGGAGATGAAAATCGAAGGGTTCTTATGGAAAATTATTAAAAGAGGCACTTTTTAAATGAAAAAAGATTATATAAGGACATTACGAATGATGGTTAGGCGGAAAAGGTAATCGTCCATAGAACATGGCTCGTGACAAGAATGCGTGAATATTTACATAAACAGCAAAATAGTGCTTAGCCTGTTGGCCATCGCCCGATTGAGATTAGCAGGATGGCAGGATCATTGTATTTTTTATTTGAAAACTTAAATGAGAATGTGTTAAAGGTGCAAATTGTCGGAAATGAAAAAGAGTAGGACTAGGCATAGACAAATATGTAAAAAGAGTAAAGTTGGAAATATACTGTTTGTCCATGGATCTGAGCTCTCATCTGTCCAAGAGAAATATCCTCATTTTTATATCGACCTAAGAAGAATGTGTTTCTGCAGCAGCTCAATTATGCCAACACAGTCCCAGGATTGATTGGATTATTGACTTGCTAAAAAGAAAATCTTATGATATTATTCTTGGCGCTTATTTAAACGGGTCGCTTATTCGCGCGAGTACGGTACACAAGGAAAATGAAAATAAAGTTTATGTAAAGGATCATATATTCCTATTATATTGCAGTGAAAGTCAGTGAAAACTGATATGTTCTTAATCTTTTTTTATTGAATCTAAAAACAAAAAAAATATCAGATCCTTTGAAATGAACTTTTCGATTTTATTCGAACTTTTTATGGTCATCTTTATTATGACAACATATCGGAAACATATTGACAAACAACAAACCCCTACCACTCATTGGTGGCGGGCGATAAAAGTATTATTAGACTGCAAGTCCCAGTCGTTCTGTCATTTCTTATGGCGACCATGTGTTGTTTGTGAGGTTTGATCACATCGTGTCGTCACGTTTCAGTACTGTTCATTACATTTCATCATTACATCCTACATGACCTGATCCTTCCTAATGCCTGTCAAAGCATAGAATAATAAGTAAACATTATATGGTGGGATGGCCTTAGAATTATTGCAGTCTCCAAATGATTCAAAAGACTATAGGTTAGTAAACATGCCTGCAATATGCTATCTACTTCTTGCATGTAAATCCAAGTTTGAACATCTGTATGACTGACTGTCGTTGTTGCATCCATTGTTATGAACGGATCCGATGAAATTTTCTCAAGAATGTAGTAAAATAGGATAGGATATTAATATAAATACATGACAATATGTGAACAAGACCCAAAAAGATGTAATTTAAAATTCCCCTTCGTACAATATGTTTAGAATGGAACTCTCTTCAGATATACAAATTATTATAATCAAAGATGTGTCTAGAGACTAACTAGAGGTACAGTACAGTACCATACATTCTCTCGGTCAGTTGTCTCATGGAACTCGCAATTCAGAAGATACTGAAGGTGTTCTGTTGAAGTGCACCCCCACACCCAAAATGTTGAATATCCAAGTTTTTTCATGCCTACATGCTGATCTTTCGAGGTGATAAAGTCGCAAGGAAAAATTGACACAGACACACACAATTGTTGCTACCAAAAAGTTCTTTTCTGAAAATTTGGAAGTATTTCACAAAATTTGAGAGACTGTGAGATTGCATTAAAGTTTGGGATACTCCAGATCGAATCTGGGGGGGGGGGGTGCATGCTGCATTTTTGGCCATTAACAGAAATGGTCCATGGCACCTGACTTTTGGAAAAAACCCGGGTTATAAATCCTGCTGGTTTGTTGAATAGCGATGGGTTCTTAAATTATTTAATGCCAGTGAAGCCCATGAGATGAAGTGAGTGATTGTAATGGGTTTCTTGTTTACATTCCGATGGCTATATGTTGCTGGCCAGGACTCTCTTGTTAACTCCCAATGGACGTTCTTAAAACCATTAAAGTTAAGTTTATGGAGATGCTGACAGCTCCCTCTGGACCATTAACAGCTCACTCTCAACCATGAGACAGCTCACTATGGACAATTTCTGCTAACGGAAACTTTTGCCTCATGTGGACATATGCTCGGTAATGATAAAGAAGGCAACAATTAGGGACACTCACCATACTGAGATGTGTACGGTACCATATTCCTATCCACTGCCATTAGTTAAAGTTAGCAACGTTTCTTTGTTCATGACTTTATCTGCATGTACTTTAATAACTTTAAATACACCATTACACATATGAAATATATGTAATGACTAGATCATGTTGAAGTTATTACATATTTTCAATGTATATAATTTAATGAATAATATGTAATTTTCTCAAAAATGTTTCTCTTAACTAAATTACTGTTCACCAAATTCCCTCCCCAGTTCTGTTCCTCGTAAATCATGATCTTATTCAATACATCATAATTTGTAATTTCAGAATAATCACGCTCCCGAACAACCTGGTTGCCATTGTCATTTCTGACTTGGCATCCACCACCAGTTCTCATAATTCAGAACTTGACAAAAACATCAACGTTGATGGTACTGGTAGTGAGAATGCAGGTGGACAAGAAGAAATAGATGACGATGATGATGAAGATGGTGATTCTGAAGAGGAAGATGGCATGGATGGAATACAAGCTGACAGTGAAGATGAGATGGTGCCACTCAAAAAGAGAAAGAGAACACAAGAGAAATTGGTTAGTAGTAACTTCTTTTCCATCATTCATTTATGCATACAGTACATCTTACAGAAAGTAGGTCTAAAATCTGCCAATTTAAAGTGTGTGATGCCTGCCTATAAGACTGTGAAGCTTAGGGAGGCTAGTTAGAAGTTAGAAAAAGAAACAAAAAATTTAAAAACTAAGTTTTTTATTAACATTTTTTCAGAGGTGGCTCCAGAAATTTGCTGAACCTAGGGGCCAGCTAGAGCCTCCTCGGTTAGGGTCCAGGAATAAAAATCTCCGATTAATTCATGGGTAGTTTTTATGGCTTAGCCCAGATGTGCTTTAGATCAACTCATTAAGGATTGCCAATCAAAATAATGTTATTGGTATAGGCAAATTATTATTTTTGGTACGAGGATCTCGTCATGGCATCGGACAGCACCAACGGCGGGGGTACTTGCCTGTCCAATGTGGGAGGGGAGGGAAATTCCCTCGCTGACCCACTGCTTGCTCCATCACTACTATGTACAGTATCATTTATTATTTATTAATTGATTTTAATAGTTTTCATTATTGTTATTGTTACAGGCTGCTGCAGCTCTAAGCGTTGGTGTTGGAAGCTTTTCTGATCCATCGGATATCCCTGGATTAGCTCACTTTCTTGAACATAGTAAGCTTTTATTTTATACCAGCTATAATGTATATTAACATAAACTCCTTATTACATCCTGGCAGATGTATTGTTAGAACTCTGCAACTCATGACACACTAATTAATAGCAAACTGAGGTCTTCCAGCAGCAGTTGCCAATGCTGTAATAAATTCAGAACAACTTTTAGTACAGGCCTACCATGTTGCTGCTGTTTCCATCTCTGCTACATTTACACATTATTTATAAAGATGATGACGACTATACATGTTTGTAATAATGCATATATCAGCAAATATTATATTACTTAATGAATTGCATACTTTCAGTGGTGTTTATGGGCAGTAGCAAATACCCTGATGAGAACTCATTTGATGCTTTTGTAAAGCGTCACGGCGGAAACAACAATGCATCTACTGATTGTGAACGGGTAAGTTAGAATGAATATTAATTATATACAGTTCACTCTCCAATTCGAAACCACCTTTAAGACCTGAAAATTTAGGGTGGTCTCATTGTTCAGTCTCTAGTGGGTTAGCTTTGTGTTAAAAGATTGAATATTGTTATTAGGTTCTTTGAAAAAATGCGCTTGAATTAGAGGGATTTTAAATTGGAGGTGCACTGAATGGACAGATTGTGACATTATTCAACTTTTTCTACTCCATTCTGTACACTAATTTGCCCATTGTGTATTATCTGTTTGACCTCTATTCTGTGAAATAAGTTGATACAACATTTGCAATTTTTTATTTCCATGTAAAACAGTAACAGTCATTATATATACCAATAAAAAGATTATTAATAATTTGGAACAGTATAAAATGTGTGTTACACTTTAGTTATATACACTTTACACCAAATTATGTAACAAAGGTGCAAAAAATATATAGATAAATAAATCCGATAGAAATTCTAGTGTTTCTATAAATCCTCTAAAAGTATATTTTATTCTATTTGATTTTTTTTTGTAAGTGACGCACCACACATGGAGTTGAGCACAACCCATGTAAATGGTGAATGCCAATAAAGTATATTTACTTTTTTAGACTGAATTTCAATTTGAAATTGATAGCAACTTCTTCCGTGAGGGATTGGACCGCTTTGCTCAGTTCTTTATCTCACCCCTGATGAAGGAATCCAGCACTGACAGAGAACTGGAAGCTGTCGATAGTGGTAAACAAAATCCTACTTTGAACAAATGCTGTGTTCTGCCCCGGGCAATAAGCTGTAACGGCCCTGTTACAGCTTAATTCAGAAAGAAAGTTTACCATTAAATTTACCATTACACCTTGTATCTATTATTATTATGACTGGGAAATGTTCAGTTTATCAATAAAATGTAGTTTATGATTACAACATAACACTTTAAAAGAATTGTAATAATAAGAATAAAAGTGCTTATAACTGTGATATTCGTCTAAAAACATTTTACATAACACATACACATTTTATGTAATAATGCTATTTATAATATTGAATAATATATTGTTAATTTTTTTATACGAGTGCTAGTTTAAAAAAGAAAATTTATAGAATTTGAAATGAGTCTTGTGGCACATAATGTACATAACAATACACTTTAAAAAAAAATCCAAAAACATTCATGAACTCCTAAAACTAACTGAGTATACATGTTTTATATAATAATGTTATTTATACTATTTAATATTTATTAAGATTTTTATGCACTGTATGTGTTAATTTTCCAAACTATAGAATTTCAAATGAGTCTTCAGGATGATGATTCTCGTAAACAGCAGTTGTTTGGTACTTTCACTAAAGAAGGTCACCCACTTGGAAAATTTATGTTTGGTAAGTTGGTATTTATTTATCCCTTCCTTATAATTGTAGCAGGTTTATAGCATATTTACCGTATTTTTATTTGAAAAACATATCATAACATACTTTTTATCTATAAAACATAACAAACATTTGCTCAAACATTGAACAAACAAGGAAATAAAACTACTGTTGGTCAGATATACATCTTTGCACCAGTGAACCTTGCGTTCTGTTGTGGAAGTTGACACTTCAAATATCAGGTGATTGATTGATTGATGGATATGTCCAAATCAAGTATAAACAAAGTCTGATCAAATATTGTTTGTCTGACATTGGCAGACAAGCAACTCTATGCCCAGTTTTATTCTATGAGTTTGAAATATTTTTTTTGGGTCTGTTTGCAGGCAATACAACAACTCTGAAACTGGATCCAGTTAGCAAAGGTATTGAAGTACACAAACGACTTCAGAAATTCAGACACGCAATGTACTCCAGTGATTATATGACACTTGCTGTACAGTCTACA